ACGTCACGAGACCGGTCGCAGTCTGAATGCCCGAGCACTAAAAATATTGTGTGCATCGCCTGCAGGCTGTGGGTGTAGATTTCCTGCTTAGGCAAAGGTCTCATTTCTAAGATATTTATTTATTTAGTGCCAGTCCTAGGGTTTGAACTCAGGTCCTGGGAGCTGTACCAGAGTTGTTTTTTTTTTTTTTCTCTCAAGGTTAGTGCTCTGTCACTTGAGTGACAGCTTAATTTTTTTTTACTTTTTGGTGGTTTATTGGAGATAAGAGTCTCACAGAGGGCTGGGAAGGTGGCTCAGTGGTAGAGCGCTTGCCTAGCATGCATGAGGCCCTGGGTTCAATTCCTCAACACCACATAAGCAGAAAAAAAAAGCCGGAAGTGGTGCTGTGGCTCAAGTGGTGGAGCGCTAGCCTTGAGCTGAAGAGCTGAGGGACAGCGCCCAGGCCCAGAGTTCAAGCCTCACAAGTGATCAAAAAAAAAAAAAAAGTCTCAGACTTTCCTGCCTGGGCTGGTTTCAAGCCTTGGTCCTCAAACCTCAGCCTCCTGAGCAGCTGGGATGACAGGCGCGAGCCACCGGCGCCCACTTTTTGGAATCATTTATTCCCATCTATCAGTCTAAATTTATAGATTATCCAACCAAGTCAACAGTCATGTTTGGGGTTTAACTCAAGGTTATCTGGAGGCTTCTCACACTTAAAAATAATCCTTCAATTTACGAAAGCCAAGTTGCTTTAAAAAAAGTAAAGTAGGGCAGTTCGGCGAAACACATTAGGCCTTCATTTGTGGCCTAATAATAAGCCAGAAGTTTTCCCTGCCCTAAATTAGACAGCCTCATTATTAGTGAGCTGGGCTTCGGTTCCGGAAGCCATGGAGCGGAGCTCCGAGCTAGCGGCCTGTTCCAGCCCTTCTCACAAAGAGGCAGGGGTGCTGCTAATCCAGCTCCCCAGTGCTGCTTATGTGGGAAAGGAGAGGAGGCTCCCTGCCTCCCTGCCTCCCTGCCTCTCTCCCTGCTTCCCTGCCTCCCTGCCTCCCTCTTTCTCTCCCTCCCTCCCTCCCTTCTGTAAAGGGCAGCCAGCGCTCTATCACTTTGAACCATAGCTCCACTTCTGGCTTTTCAAAAAAAAAAATTTTATTGGTGATTCGTTGGAGATAAGACTCTCACAATTTCCTGCCTGCGCTGGCTTCAAACTGTGATCCTCAGCTCTCAGCCTCTTGAGTAGCTAGGATGACAGGCGTGAGCCACCAGTGCCTGGCTTCTAGGTCTTCATTTCTATACTGTTAGTTTGCATGTAGTTTGTGTGTCTATACCACTAGAGGTGTGTGTGTGTGGGGGGGGGAGAGTGAATTCAGGGCCTGGGAACTGTCTGTCCCTGGGCTCTTTGCTCAAGGCTAGTGCTCTGTCACTTGAACCTCTACTTCCAGATTTTTTGTGGTCAATTGGAGATAAGTCTCACAAATGTTTCTAGCTTGGCCTTACTTGGAACTGCGATCTTCAGATCTTAGCCTGCAGAGTAGCTTGGATTACAGGCGTGAGCCACCCGCATCCCGCTTAGCATAATTTTTTTTTTCTGTGTCTTCTGGCACCTGGGTGGGCACATAGAACATTCTAGAGGCCGATGCATTGGTGTGCATTGGTTGGCTGGGTATCCTTCATATGGTGGAATGCTCCTCCCTCTGCTGACCTTGACTTTGACCTTCGCTGGTTCTCAGGAGCATTGCTGACTGCAGTTGGTGCTCCAGCAGTTCCTCTGGGATGGATCTACCACCAGCAGCGCCCAGTCCTGCTTCTTCCCTCTTCAGTCATGCCTCCCCACGCGTGGCCCAGTCCCAGATGACTTAATGAACTGGGTGAGCCTTCGGCAAGGCCAGTCACCCTGAACGTGACCTCAGAAGCAAAGGCTCTGGGGCAGCTGGGCAGAAGCCTGAGGCAGTCCTGTCTGAAGATGTATAATAGTAACATTTTACGTTATCAGTAAATTAAACATTCAGAGTCGTCCTTGTAAAGGATGGAGAATCTCTGAGGACCTCAAACCAAGAAAACCTGCCTATCGGGCTGGGAAGGTGGCTCAGTGGTAGAGCGCTTGCCTTGCATGCATGAGGCCCTGGGTTCAATTCCTCAGCACCACATAAGCAAAAAGAAAAAAAAAGCCAGAAGTGGCACTGTGGCTCAAGTGGTAGAGCGCTAGCCTTGAGCTGAACAGCTGAGGGACAGCGCCCAGGCCCAGAGTTCAGGCCCCGTGACTGGACCAAAAAAAAAAAAAAAAAAAAAAAGAAAAAAGAAAACCTGCGTATCCAGGCGCGGGCATTAATATCAGCTAGATGGGGGGGGGGGGCATGGGAGGAGCGCTAACTGTCAGGGCCAACCTCAATTAAGAGATACAGAGCAGCCCACCCTGGCCTGAGGCAGAGGTTCTCACCCCCAGCTCCAGCCATTCCGGAACTGCTGCTTTCAGCCAGCCAGGAAGAATTGAATTAATTGGTCTGTGGTTGGGCATCAGGATTTGTAAAAGTACCCCAGGGGATTCTAATGTGTAACCAAGGGGGCTAACGTGGTCCTAGGAGAAGCCTTGGGCAAGGCATAATTACATTTAAGGCCATTTGAATTAATTTATTTACAAGGGAGGGGAAAGGAGGAGGGGGACTAACCTTTAAAGTGCAGTGTGCTAACCCTCCAGGGATTAGAACAATCAGCTAATGTTGACTGAAAGCTTTTTGGAGTCTGGGCTTTGTGCTACTACCTGTACTCTATCCTTATCTTTTTTTTTTCTCTTTTTTTTGGCCTTGAGGGCCAAATTTAAGCCCCCTCCCACTCCCCCAGCTGTCCCTGAGCTTTTGTGCTCAAGGCTAGTGCTCTATCACTTTGAGCCACAGTCACACGTCTGGTTTTCTGGTGGTTCACTGGAGATGAGAGTCTCCTCTGGACTTTCCTGCCTGGGGCTGGTTTTGAACGGTGAGCCTCAGATCTTAGCCTCCTGAGTAGCTAGGATGACAGGTATGAGCCACCACTACCTGGCTCCACTCTTACCTTGACATGATGGGCCTTCCTTTCAGCTTACCAGTGAGGAAAACTCAGAAATTTGCCTGAAGTCATGTCAGTGAAAATCAATTGAGGTACAGATGCAAGTTTCCCAGAGGTCATCTGTGCGGGGACCATCTTTAAAGGCTGCCTGTAGCCCTCGCTCTCCAGCGCCATCTCTATCCACACACCTGGCCAGTGCTTATGGACATGGCCACAGATGTCCCTGCTGGAGGGGACTGGGGTGAGGGGCTCACCAAAGCAGAACTTCTGTTCTTCAGTCTTACTAGGAAGATGGAGAATTCCAGAATTCCAGGATCTGGTCTTTCCCCAGGCTTCTTCCGGGAGCCTGCGCCCTTCCCTGCTCAGGCTCTGGGGAAAACTGCAGGGCTTGGCGAGGAGATGGGAAAACCCTCGCAAAGGAGCTGCTGGCATGTCTGCAGAAAGACTGGGAGTTGGTTGGGCAAAAAGTGAAGGTGGCAAAGGCTTGGTTGGAGAGTGTGGCTCTGTTTACATAGAGCTTTGGAGGGGAGGCAGGAGCATTCAGTAAGGCTTGAACTCAGGGCCTGGACCTTGTCCCTTGGCTTTTTCATTTAAGGCTGGTGCTCTACCACTAGAGCTACAGTTCCACTTCTGGCTTTTTGCTGCTTCATTGGAGATGAATCTCATGGGCTTTATTGCTCTGCTTGGGCTAACTTTGAACCCCAGTCCTCAGGATCTCAGCCTCCTGAGTAGCTAGGATTACAGGCGTGAGTCACTGGCTCCTGGCTTCTGAAGATCTTTTGATCAAAGTGATTTTGATGTTCACAAAATCATTGCAGGCAAGGAAGTAAAACGGTTCCTTGACTAAAAACTAGCCACGATGTTGGGAGCCACGATGTTGGGAGCCACGATGTTGGGAGACACGAATGTTATTCATTTCCAGTGGCCGTGCTGGGTTGTTGGCTCTGTTATTTCCTAGCTCTGATCTATTTTCATAGAGGCACAAAAAGCACTTGTGCACTTGGGGTTTGGATTTCGTGGCTGTGCCCGTTGTCCGAGTTACCTGTGTGATTTCCTGGCTTGCACAGAAAGATTGGGGCAAGGCCTGGTCCTTATCGCATGTCAGCTGACGAGATCAGATGGAGCCTTTTCCAGGCCCAAAATAGACCCTGGCCGAAGTGTCTTACAGCCACAGAGACACTTCACATACTGTCTGTGATTATTTTATGAATAAGGCCCTGGCATGTCTTTTAAATGTTCTAGCTTCGGACAGTTTTTTTCCTATACAGAAGATGAATTATTTATGAGAACAGGCATGTGTATCTTACGATGAGCTGGCCCGCCCATGTCACCTGCCCAGGCCGGCAGTGCAGGCCGACGTTCCTCCTGAACCTGAGGATCGAGGTTCGAAGCCAGCCCGGGCAGGAAACTCTGTGAGACACTGATCTCCAAAGAACCACCCAACAGCCAGATCCGGAGCTGTCGCTCCAGGTGGTGTGGAGAGGAAAAGCCCGGGGGCAGGGCCTGGACCCAAGCCCAGGCTGAGGAGGGGCGCGCAAAGCGTACAGTGGGGGGACGCAGAGGCCCGCAGGAGGCCCCGAGGACCCGGGGAGGTGAGCCGGGGCGCAGAGGCCCGCAGGAGGCCCCGAGGGCCCCGGGGAGGTGAGCACCGCGGGCCGGCTGGAGGTGGGCTCCGTGGGTGCGGGGCTGGAGGAGGGATGGGGCCGGGGGCGCCCAGTCCTCTCTCGGTCCGAACCTCGGGAGGTGCGGCGGGGCGGGGCGGGGCGGGGCGGGGCGGGGCGCAGCCGTCGAATGAGTCCGTGCGACGTGTTGGCGGCGGCGGCGCGCGGGCTCTTCCGGGCTCCTCGGGCTCCGCGGCGTCCTGTGTCCGGCGCCGCGCGCAGTTGCGGCATCGGGGCTCCCCGCGCGCACCCCGGTCCGCTCACCCACCGGCCCCTCGCCCCATCGCCGGCCGGTCACCGCCCGCCCTCGCCGGCCGCGCCATGCGCGCGCCGCCCGCGCCGCCGCCGCCGCTGCTGCTGCCGCTGCTGCTCGCGCTCCTGGCGGCGCCCGGCGCCCGCGCCCGCCGGGCCGAGCCCTCGCCGCCCGGCCCGGGGCCCGGGAACGCCACGCGGGCCGAGCCCGGCCCCGGCCCCGGCCCCGGCCCCGGCCCCGGCGGCGCCAACAGCAGCGGGGACGCCCTGGTCCCCCGCATCTCCTCGCTGCTCCGCGGCCTGCCCGCCCTGAAGGCGGCGGCGGCGGCGGCCTGCGTCCTCAGCGCCCTGCTCGTCGCCTGCCTGCTGCTGCGCGTCTGCAGGTGGGTCCCCCGGGCCTCCCGGCCACCCGCGGGCCTCCCGGCCACTCCTGGGCCACCCCCGGGACACCCCCCCCCCCCGGTCCCCCGCCCCAGGCGCTCACCTGTCTACCCTGGGCACACAGTTTTAGGAATTCTTTTCCCTCCACCAGCTCCGTCCGCCAGCCTGGGCCCGTCAGTCTGTGTCTATCCGTCTGTGTCTGTCTGTCAAATTATTGTTGTTGTTGTTATTGTTATTTTGGCTTGAACTCAAGGCCAGGGCGCTGTCCCCACGCTCTACCACTTGAGCCACAACTCCACTTCCAGCTCTGGTAGTTAACTGGAGGTTAAGGGTCTCACAGGCTTTCCTGCATCCTGCTGACTTCCAACCTCCATCCTCATAGATCTCAGCCTCCTGAGTAGCTAAGACCACAGGTGTGAGCCACCAGCACCTGGCTTGAGATATATATATATGCATATGTATAATATATGAATGATACTCGGTTCACAGCTGGGGAAAACCCAGCGATCGAGGTAGGATGTGAACTCAAGTTTGTCTAAATTTAATCTTTCTGCCCTTTCTCATGCCAGTCTCTAGCAATCCCTCCCTCTCTGTGCATGACTCTGTTTCAGTCTCTGTCTCCCCCGCCCCCCCGTTTTTTTTCCTCTTTTACTGCCTCAGAACGATGTTTCTACAGGGGTCACCCTCGGACACTTCTTTGACTCCTGGGATAGGCACTGGGCTAGGTGATGTTAGTGACCCTTGGTGGCCTTGGTGACTTACAGGGGCACAAGAGGTCTTGCTGGCCACCTGGAAGGTCGCCCAAGGTCAAGGAGAAAGTGGGGACTTTGGACAGTCCCTGCAGTGGGGTGTGTGGGGGGACTGGGCAGACCACAGGGAAGACAAGCTGGCCACTTTCCTGGCGCTCAGAAAGCCTGTTTTTGTAGGGTATGAAACACATCCTGTGGCTCGGGCCGGCCTGACCCCAGCCATGGCCACACTCCACACTGGGGAGCCTGATAGCCACAGAGGGTCTGGTGCGGGGCTTGCTCCGCCGCCGAGGAGCAGAAACCAGATGTCGAGAGGTTTGCTCTCAAGGAGTGAATCAGGGCTTGTGGGATCAGATGCCAGTGGTCTGCATGAGAGGGGCGAGGCGTGTGGTCCGAGGCTCGCCGCCCCCCATCATTGTTCCCCCCTGTGTCTGTCTCTTTGTTCATTTTCTCCCCACCCCATGTCTTCTTTCACTCCTCTGCTGAAGAACTTCATACCCTGAGCTACTTGTGTGTGGCATTCTGAGCTCCCTGCGGTCCACCTCCGGCCCAGTTCCTACTTTGCATCTTCCAGTCACAGAGGCACAGAGAACTGTGACTCTTGGGTTCTTTTCTTTTTGCTGGTCCTGGGGCTTGAACTCAGGGCCTGGGCGCTGTCCCTGAGCTTCTTTTGCTCAAGGCAAGCGCTCTACCACTTGGAGCCACAACACCATTGCCGATTTTCTGGAGGTTCATTGGAGATCAGAGTCTTATGGACTTTCCTGCCCAGGCTGGCTTTGAACTGCTTTCCTCCTAGCTCAGCCTCCTGTTAGCTGATTAGGTGTGAGCCACTGGCGCAGGACTTCTTGGGGTTCTTTTCTGGCCTCCCCAGCCCCAGCCTTGTGCATGTCTCCCCCTCCCTCCACCCGTTGTCCGCCATGCTGCATTATGATGTGGAACGGTCCAGCTCCTGCCTTCGGCAAACAGCCCTGATATGGGGGTGCCCAGGTCAGCCCTGTGCCCTGTGGGGGACCTGGCCCTCAGCAGAGTCAGCCCATCGTTTACCCACTCGCCTCATTGTTCAGTTGGAGGCCATGAATGCCCAGAGGAGCCGGCAGCCCGGAGATTTGAAGGCATCTAGCTCAAAATAGGCTGCGCCTGGAAGGCTGTGTGTCCTTTGTCGGAAGTTATTTCAACTATTTTGCCAGTCTGCTCCTTATTAGCCGGGGGCGGGGGGGGGGGGGAGGCGGCAGCCTGTCACCAGATGTGAGGGGAAAGTGGGCGCTGGGTTTGAGGTGGGAGAGCCACCCTCGGGCCTAGAAGGGGGGTCCTTGTTGGCTGAAGGAAGGCGACGCCATTTGGGAAGCAGCCAGGTGGGTTGAGCCTCCTCTGCCTTCCTGGCAGGTGTGCATGGGGCAGGGGGGGGGGGCTCTCCAGGTGAGTGGCCCCTGGAGCTTCTTATTCAGACAAAGATTGGAAACATTCCTCAGCTGGGAAGGGCCTGGCTGGTTCCCAGCTCCCAAGTGCTGCTTTGCACATGGAAAAGCTGCAGCTTCCAGAGTGGAACACGGCATTGCTGGATTCTAGGCCATTCTGCGGGTCAGCGTGGTCCAGGCAGGGCCGGCAGCTGGGGCCCGTTCCTCTAGAGTGTGCCGACTGTCTGTCTCCCTGGGTCTCCTGGGTCCTCTCTGCTGGCCAGGTTCCACAGGTATGGGGCTCTCCAGCTCCTTAGTACACAGGTGCCCGGGCCTGAACATTCCTCGAGACGGACGGCCCAGTGAATGACCCCACCTGCCGCCACCTCCTTCCTCTTCAGAGTCACACGGCAGCCTCCAGGCTGGGTCTCCGGCTCTGTCTCTCTTCATCCTGTCCTTTCCTGTGTTTTGGGATGCTGCTCTCTTCTCCCCTGTTACACAGCAAGAGAATAGAGAAGCCACGTTTTGAGAGGTTGAGTTGGGAGTCTTTATTAAAAGGCCAGCGACTGCAGGCAGACCTGTCGCCAAGACCTGCAGCCCTGCAGCCCTGCGGGGGCACTTACCACTGTCAGAAAACTGAGCCACGAGACCTGAGAGGAGAGAAAGAGCAGAAAAACAGTCCCAACAAACCAGATCAACCCCCGTGGAGAGCTGCAGTGGGATGCCGTGGTGACCGGAGGAGAGCCAGGAGACAGGACACACGACACAGGACGTAGGACCTGAGGCACGGCATAGTGGCGTCTGAGCTGGTCCAGGCCTAAATAGGGTCAGGTCAGGGGGCGGGCTCACAACCCAAGTTTGGTAGCGTCCCAGCCCCTGCATCTAGGAGCTCAGGTACCATGCCTGGCACCTCCGTCTAGGAATTCAGTCCCCAAGTCCACCAGCATTCCTGTGGGCACCCTCTCCCCCTTGACCCTCCTACCATGCCCTCACCCCATTCATATTGTGGTGTGTCCTCCCCTGTTTCCTGGTCTGAGCAGCCTCCCTGCCTCCAAAGAGCCTCCACAGCACACTGGGGGGGCGGGGCGGGGTTGACTCACACCTCCCCCCCTCCACCGTGCCAGGATGGGCTGGCCTGCATCTTAACACCTAGTGTGGCTCCCAGCAAGGGCTGGCATTTATTCAGGGTATTTTTAGCCAAAGAATGTTGGAGTTCCACGAGTCTCACCTTGCCACTGGTGTATCTCAAGTGGGGCGTGGCCCTCATGGGACACCAGAGAGGGGGTTTGGGCCATGCCCTTTATTACTGTAAGGTAATGTGTGGCTGCATAGAAAAGGGCAGTTCCAGGGGCTGGGAAGGTGGCTCAGTGGTAGAGTGCTCGCTTCGCAGGCATGAGGCCCTGGCTTGATTCCTCAGCACCACGTAAGCAGAAAAAGCCCGAAGTGGCGCAGTGGCTCAAGTAGTAGAGCGCTCGCCTTGAGCTGAAGAGCTGAGGGACAGCGCCCAGGCCTAGAGTTGAGGTCCCATGACCAACTACCCCCCCCAAAGTAATAATAAAAAGGGCAGTCCCAGCCTTCTTGTTTGTGTTCCCCCAAGGAGGTCCCTTGTCAGACAACAGGAAAAATAAAGATACAAGGAAACTATTAACATAAAAAGCAGAAAGCATGTATTGTGGAAGAAAACATACAGGCATTTACTTATTTGTTGTATTTATGTTTATCTCCAGTACTGGGGATTGAACTCAGGTCCTCACATGGCAAGCAGGCACTCTACCACTTGAGCAGCCATGCCTCCAGCCCCTTTTTATCTTGGTTACTTTCATGATTGGGGTCTTGATCTTTATGCCCAGGCTGGCCTGGGACTTCCATACTCCTGCCTGTGTGTCCCTGGGTTGGGGATGACAGGCTCTCACCACTGAATCCAGTCATTTGGTTGAGATGGGGTCTTTAGCATGTTCCTGCCTGAGCTGGCTTCTCACCGGGATCCCTCTGATCTCCCCAGGTAGCTAGGATTGCAGTTTTGAACTACTGCACCTGGCAACATAACCAACACCAAGTATTAAAAGCCTCTCCCATGTTGCCCAGCCGATGGGCATGCTTTGGGACCTTGTTGCTCGCTCCTTCCTTCCTTCCTTCCTTCCTTCCTTCCTTCCTTCCTTCCTTCCTTCCTTCCTTCCTTCCTTCCTTCCTTCCTCCCTCCCTCCCTCCCTCCCTCCCTCCCTCTCGGCCTGAGTGCTATCCCTCAGATCTTCAGCTCAAGACTGGCACTCTGTCACTTGAGCTACAGTGCCACTTCTGTTTTCTGGTAGTTTATTGGAGAGAAGAGTTTCACGGACTTTCCTGCCCGGGCTGGCTTTGAACCACGATCCTAACATCTCAGCCTCCTGAGTAGCTAGGATGGCAGGTGTGAGCCACTGGTGCCGGGCTGTATTTCTTTATTGTCTGCTAAGAATTTGTTTCCTCTTGTAACACTGGGGTTTGAACTCAGGGCTTTGCACTTGCTGGGCAGGTGCTGTACACCTGACCCATGGCTCTACCCTTTCGCGTCACCTTGCATGTATTCCCTCTAATTCAGAGAACATTTTATTAGTTTCTGTAATTAAACCAGTCCCCTGCTGCGTGTGGAGTAGGAAACTCATTTCTCCATGGCAGTGACGTGGGGAGCTATCTGGCGAGGACTGGAGTGGAGGCCAGGGACGGCTGTTATCAGCTACCTTGTGACCCAGGGCTTTCCTTACAACACCTTAACCTCTGAGTCCAGGGAATCGGGCGCTGTCTTTTGGTGTCCTCTGAACGGGGTGGCCAGAGGCCAGGGAAACTTGGCCACCACAAAACAGCGACTTTCCTTGGCTATTCTCC